TCACAGCTGGTCACACTGAAATAAAGACCCTGTTTATTTCTTACAACCATACACGGAGTTGTTGGAGACGGCTGCATTTACTGGAGTGCATTCTTGTAACCATCAGCTGTCTTTGTACTTCGCATGGACACATCAGGAAGTCTTGGTCTGGATATCCTGACAAATTTCCCAGTAATTTCCTTTTTATTAAAGCAGCTGCAAAACTGTAACTTAACAGAACTTTTAGACTTGTGTATTTATGAAGCCAACTCGCTTGGAAGAAGTTGTTTTGATGGCATGCATACCTGCAGTGATGACAGGTGTCTTAAAGGATATATCCGTGAATGCAGGAGTGACGCAGAGCATTATTTGGCATTGTGTGTTCCTTTGGCGTGGTGTTGTTTGACTGGGTGATGAAAGTTTTTCTGGTTAGACGGACTGTTGTTTAGAATAATTTGACTTTTAAAGGTGGCGTTTTTGCTGAGAGATGGTGGAAATGCCAAGTGAGGTCAGAGCAGCAAGTTTTTACTCTACACACTCGATCCCCCTCTTCCTCTCCCGCCCCTCCCGTCATCAAATCTCTGTGTTCCCATGTTTTCGTGTTTGGACTTGTATGTTCAAACAAGGCCCATTCAGCCAAAACACCCACTGTAAATGGAGAGCTTGAATAGAAATGAACTTCTTCTAGAAATCTCTAGCTGAATGAAAACTTTTAGGAGCAATCTGAATATTACCTTGTTTGTTCAGTCTGTTTGAGCAGTTTCCTGCTGTTTTTGTTGAGTGTATTATTATCAGTATAATCACAGCAAGAGTCTGAAGACATACTCTTACTGCCCCATTTTTCTTCTTTCCCTTTCTATGGCTCTGCTTTATCTTTGATGGGACATAAAACCTTTTAAGCAAAACGGCTTTATTCAGCGGCAGTGAATACATGTACAGTATATTGTGTGTTCGTTGTGTGTTAAATATGTTCATCCCTGTTTTTTGTGGGTCAGACATGAAATTCATGTGTGCCAACAAGTCATTGGTGGAAATTTTGCTGCAACTGTTAATTAAAGTTGTGAAATACTGTTGACGAACACGACGCATGGGAACACACTACAGGCTGTGAGGAGGGCGTGGCTTAAACATGTATGCACAAAGCGTGCCGAGCTGTGTTCCTGGTCTGTGAGAAGACTTCTGTGCTTACCAATTAATAAATAAATAGCCTTTACAGAGGCTCTGGCAAGGAAAGCATGATTAATATTTAATTAAATGTTGACACCGAGCTGGTAATAAATAGTAAATGTAAGCTGGCAGAACATAGAATTGGGCAATCAGTTACAAGCCATGGAACATTTCCTGCAAAAACGCTGTTACATGAACACTGATTGTGGCGATAAAGGTGATAAATGCACTGAGACGTAACATGTCGTCTGGTTTAGAAACCTTTGAAACCATGGTTGTGTAGACTGAAGACTCAATGACTAAAATATTTTTCCTTTATGACTTAAGAAGGCTTTAAAACTCGATTTTCTTGCCCAACAAGTGGAAAGGAATTTCTTTGTGTGGCTCACATTCATAATAGGAACACAAGAAAAGCTGGTCCAAGCCGGCAATGTCAGCTGTCAGATGGGCCTGTTACATGGCAGACGTGTTGACGTGTCATTAAGTACACCTGTTTTGTAAAAAAACAATATTAGCAAAAGCTCCAAGTGTGACCAAAGCTTTGAATCTGAATGAGTTGCTTGAAATTTAGCTGCCACTGATTTATTCATTGTGCAGTTTTAATTTGACGTAAACCTCTTTTTGGGAAGAGCGCTTGCATACAGATAGACCGATGTTTAAATCCAAAGTGGAAAAAGTGTTCATTAATATGAAGACGAAGAACAGGATGCTGACTGCACTATAATTGCCTCGAGTGGCCTGCTAAGCTCTGTTTGGTACATTTCTGTGTCTCCTGACATTGTTCAGTGCTTATGTTTGGTTTTTGGAAACCAAATTAATCAACCTTATCAGCTGTGCTAAAAGACTCTTTAACAACATTAAACATTAAGCTGATTGAGCGTGCCAATCTGAGCTTGGCGCCTTTTAATCAGGAACTGTTAGTCAGTCAGATGTCAGAGGGAGATAAAATGGCCAATTCATTACATTATCTATCAAAGCTGAGGTAAGACCAAACAATTTTATTTTATTTTAAAAAAAAAACAGTCATGTATGTTATAGTTATAACCCTCTAGTTTATTTAAAATGAACTATGGCGTCATGCATATTGCCTCTATTGCCGGATATATACTGAAACAAGGTGTTAGACACAATGTTTAAAAATTTATTTGTGGCATGAAATCACAAGCTTATTGGGTAACAACTTATCAATTACAAGTTGTGAGCCCATGAGCACCTTTCTTTGTCACATCCAGTTTTTCCCCCCACACAAGATTGTAACAATGGAAACGCTCATCTCGAGGCTTCAGAAACCAGTGGAGGACATCATTGTAGCTACATCCACCTTTAATCTGTCTACAAAAGATGGACACACATTGATATTATGAAAATAAATTTTCATCTTTTGGATATTTAAACCCTGAATTTGTGCTTTCTAGAATTAGCTGACAAAGAAAATAAGCTATAAAGCTTGGTTAATTTCTTGGTTGATTAGTTACTTGCTAATAAGTGCTAATTAACATACCATCCAATATTAGAATTTCAGTCACCCAAAGGTAAATGGGATTAATTACACAAATAAAGTCATTATTGTCATATAACTCTATCACAAATGTTCCAAAAGACACAAAACACAGTTGAGGTCAGAGACTGGTGTAGCATGAAGACAGGTGGCAGCTATTCCCCTTAAAATACATAACTTTAAACTTTAACATAATAGTAATAATAATAATAAATGGATGAGTGTGTGGTTTGTTTGTTTGTTTGTTTGTTTGTTTGTTTGTTTGTTTGTTTGTTTTGTCACCAGTGTACAGCTGTCACTAAGTCGCTACAGAGATCAACAACATTTTGTACCAGGCTGTAAATATGTTTCTGGTCTAAAATTGCACATTTTAACTATTGGCGAGGATTTCAGGTTGCTACCTCATCAGGGCAAACTATATTTTGAAGTGGATCTTGTGCCTCGTGCTGTTTTGTGAGACTGGATGTTTCCCCGATTCTCTTCTTTGTGGTGGAGAGTGCAAAGCTGGCAAAAGAAATAGTCACATTAGAAAAAAATGAAAACTATGCCAGGTTTAAGTAAACTGGAAAAATGTTTTGTTAGAAAGTAAAGTTTATTTATACAACTCTTTTCAGACATAAGTCTCAAAGCACTGTACAACAGTTAAAATACAATATCAACAGAGAAAACCAAATCCTGTATATTTCCATCCTGTAAATTGCACTCGGCTTGGTTCATTTCTGAAGATGTGCTTTAAGACCTCTGTAATTTCCAAAAACAGGTGGACACGGTAGTTTTTAGGGAACACGACGGAAACAAGAAGACAGAAACGTTTCTTTTGTGAGGAACTATTGTTAGCAGTCGATAAATAATCTGTGTTCCACTGAGTAACTGAACCGCACAGAAGCACATAGGTTATTATCTGTGTCGTGCCATTCAGTGCAGCGGCAAGACCAACAAGGTTTGCTTTATTAAATGTCACAGAACCACACCTCCCCTTCAGATAAACTTTTCAAACACAAGACTTTGTTTTAAACTCTGAAAACTGCTGTTGGAGGTTTGTCCTGCTGTTCCAGTCGTCGCAAATAGGCTATAAAAAGCTCATCCTTAATGAGAGGTGGTGATGACAAGGAGGGAGTGATTGCATTCCTCACATGGACACGATCACTTCGACACGGATCCCACGTCATCACACTGCATCGTTTTGCTCATGGCATTTGTCAGTCAAAGTAGGGAGAAAAACAGAAGTACAGCTCCCTTCTTGTGACTGATTACTGAGTATTAATGGCTATAATGATACTACACGTGGGCGGTCAGTTTTCCGGCCGTGAAAACTTTTAGAGTTGATCAGTCAGCTGGAGGCAGATCTGCATTTCCTGCTTCAGCTGCATTCCTGCTCTTTTCATATTCTTAAGTCAGTGTGTGGCATCTGTAAACCTGTTAGACTTGTGACTGCTGTCACAGCTTTTTTCCCCTTCTTTTCCCCCCTGCAGTGTTCTTACTTTCAGTTCTTCGTCTGAGAAACTGAGGCCTGTGGAACCATTAATCCTTGTCAACCTGACCAATTTTTTTTTCTTTTATTTATTGAAATATTAATGTTTTAAATTTATTTAGATTGTTTTCATTATAGTCAATGCATTTATTTACAGTTTACTGTGTACATTATGGAAATCTGAAGGCCCCATTGATTTTAACTGTACTACTTTGTATGATGCATTATAGTGTTTGCATCATCTTCCTCATTAATGAAACAGACTTGGAATTAAAAAGAAAAATGCAAATCACGACTTCATGAACTGTATATAAATGATGGATGCAACGTGTGGGTCTGAAAACTGAGGCCAGAACAAATTGTCTAATTATTGTACAAATAAAATATGCTGAATCTGAGGGCTTATGTGGAACTAGCCCTAAGGAAAACTGTCAGTTTAAGTTTTTGGAGATTGTGAGTTTACATTGTCTTAAAGAAAATCTTGATACTAACATATGTAAGAGGCCCCACATCCTGAGCAGGTTAGCTTTTAGCATTGGTATTATCATCTAAGTCATATCTAGTGTCTGATGCATCCTTAGTATAAACCTTTATTCAGGAAATCACACTACAGATCATTCATATATTAGTTTTGTCTGGATTAAACTGATCTGCTGACTCCATCTATTCATTTATGTATTCATTAATTTTTTTTTTTTTTGTAAGCAGGTCTGAAAAAAAGGCACCTGGTGCATCATTGCAGTCGTTGCACAACGTAGCTGTTGGATTGATTGTTTTTAAAAAGTTGCAGAACTTCTCAGAAACGGTCTGAAGACTCCACTGTGAAACAATCTGTAAAATTATTATTGAACCTACTGATCTCTTCATATTTTTTTCCTTTCTCAGAGATAACTGACCCGCCAAGATGAGTCGACGACGTGTCGACACCCGGAGCTCCCTGGGGCCTGATGATGAGGTCATGCCATACAGTGACGATGAGACGGATGACGAATTGGAAGAGGAAAGCTCTGAAGGGGAAGAAGAGGCACCAGAAAGAGCACCGCAACCCCAAGTGGAGACAAGACCCACTGGTGAGTTATTCAAGACGTGCGCTGATCCTTTTTTTTTTTCCCTCCTCCTTCTGATTCTGATTCAGGGGATGAATGTGTCATTTTACAGCAGTTTTCCTGTTTCATAACAATTTCTATTTCTCCCAAAGTATTGATCAGATTTTAATGGACATGAGATTAATTTGAGGTGAATGACAAATATGTTTGAGCCTCCTTAAATTCTCAGTGGATTTTTAAGTGTTATTAACATGTGCATAACTAATGTCACTATAAGGCAAATAATACTGGTTGATGTGTGGTTAAATGTCCTAGCATCACATCATACTGTGACCCACTTTTGGGGACTTTCTAGTTTCTTCTGAGAAGGTTGGTTCTGTTCATCTGGACGTAGCGTTTTTAGTGGGAGAAACCTTTCGTTATTCATCCAAGTGACTTCTTCAGCCTCAGCTGACTGCAGTTTTCCCCAACCTTATAAACAGTACATTTGCACAATGACGGAAACTAGCACCACTGAATGAACAGTGGGCTGTAAGGTCAGTTCCTTGATTATTAATATGCAAATTGTTATGACCATTGATAAGCTGATGTTTACTGTAAGCCTACACACACAGATCAGTATTTAAGGGGTTGACTCTCATTATCCACTGGAGCATAAACTGAGTGTCATCAGGACGCTACAACACAGAGCGAATACCATCCCCACTGACAGAGAGACAGCGGCCAGGGAAGCAGAAGAACAGCACATCAAGAAGGCCCTAAATGTGGTTATCCCAGCTGGACTTTTGTCAAAGCTGGGAAGGTGCCTAAAGAAAGCTCCAACCAATCCAGGAGAGAAGGACAACCGCTGCCTAAGTGAAAACCTGTAATGATCCCATATGTGTCAGGAGCATTGGAGCAGTTGAGACGCATTTTTTCTAAACACCGGGTCTCTGTAGCTTTTAAACCCCAAAACACGCTGCGCCAAAAATTGGTCCACCCCAAGGATCGGGTCCCCGACACAAACAGAGTAACATAGTGTACGCTGTGAAGTGCCAGGAGGATTGCCAGGATTTATATATCAAGGAAATCAAACAACCTCTGGTGAAGCGGATGACACAACACAGAAGAGCCACCTCATCAGGCCAGGACTCTGCAGTCTATTCACACCTACAGGCCAGTGGACACTCTTTCAAGGATGAGGATGTACACATCCTGGACAGGGAGGAACGCTGGTTTGAGCGCAGACTCAAGGAGGCCATTTACGTGAAAAGGGAAAGACCATCTCTGAATCAAGTAGGGGGCCTAAGGGTACATCTGTCACCATCTTACAATGCTGTGATTGCAGCCATCCCCGAACTCTCTGTGAATGGTACTAGTGGCCATTAATCAGTGGTTGTTGATCAATGGTTATGACAGTTTGCATATTTATGATCAAGGAACTGACCTCCCAGACCATTGTTCATTCAGTTGGCTGGTTTCAGTCACTGTGCAATGTCCTGTTTATAGGATTGGGGAAACCTGCAGTCAGCTGAGACTGAAGAAGTCACTTTGATGAGTGACGAAATGTTTCTCCCACAAAACGCTACGTCCAGATGAACAGAATCAATCTTTTTGGATTTACTTACCTGGATGATTGAGCATATGCATCAAGACATTTCTAGTTTCTTGTTTGTTTGATTTTTACTTTGGAAAATTGAGTTGTTCTGTTTTTTTTTTTGTTTTTTTTTTTCTTCTTGTTTTTAATTTAACTGGTGGGTGAAGTTATGTTGATTACATCCATCTTTCACATACAGTCTGTGTTTTAGCCTAACTTTCTAGAGTATATAAGTAACAGACATGTTATTTATTCTATAGTTTACTTCATCAACATTAGGTATATTTTTAAAACACAGTCTTTTTTTCTTTTTTCTTCTTGTTTCGCAGACGTCACCTGGAAAGTGAAAGCCAATGACCGACCCTATCACCAGCTGCCAGAGTTTAAGAAAAAAGTCTTTCTGTGTATAAAGAAGAGCAAATACTCTGTAAGTTTAGACATTACGTCAGCAGGCCATTTAATGTACTTATCTGCAGATTGACTGTTGGTTGTGGTGTAAACCAAACCTTCAGCATATAGAGCTGAACATGGCACACCCTAAACAAATACCAGGGCAGGTGTGTATTTTCCATCAGGCATCCCACTGAGAGGGTGTTTTATAAAATATGACGTTTTTATTTTGTACGCTGTTCAGTTATGAATGGAACTGTAGATGAATAATGGGATGAGGTGGATGTAACTCGATGAGGGTTGGACGTGCTACACTGAAGTCAAATGAGAAAATCTTGTTCTTTGATTTATGTACAGCTTTTGTTCATCACACAGTTCATTTGTTAAATTTGTCTGCCTTCATGTGGAAAACCATTTAAAGTAGTTGTTGCTGGCTGTGTGGTTTATCCTTCTGACAGCCGGTTAACACGGAAGAGATTTTTATGCTTCGTGTCACTGGCCTTTGTCAAGGTTGAAACCTGATCACCCTGCTGGGGCGGCCTTTCTTTCACCAGCAAACACAGTCAGATACGGTAGATCCTGATGCCAGGAGATGTTTAAAAATACTCGTAGCTCTTCTGTAGTTCTGTGGATCTGTTTTGGTATTAGCTGCCCAAAATGGATATGCTGCCTTCTCTACTATATAATTGAAGCCACATAGCGTTGCCCGGTGGTGCTAAAGTGTCATAAATTACATTATAAATAAATTACATCAATACCACTGCATAATAACCTGTTGATGACGCCATATTTTTTTGTGTGTTAATCTAAAGAAGTACAAGTATATTCTGAAAAAGTTCACATTTAATGCATGTAGTAAACAGACGCCAAAGCTTGACGTCTTAATAAAAACAGGTGCAGTCCTGTAAATTAAAAAACAAAAAAAGCAAAACACAAGTATGCACCATGATTTAGTAGCTTGTAGAGTTCATTGATGTGTGTGGGCATGGTAAAATCTTAAATGGATCGGTTCTTATGTAGCTCTATAATACTTTGGTATGAAGAGGAGTTTATGGTTGACTTATAATGCCCAAGTCCTGTGGCTGCGAGACAAGATTGTGTTATGGCGTGAATAAAAACCTGAATGCTTCAGATTAGCAAGATGCCAAAACGTCAGTGCGTTTCTTACTGTTAATTGCTATAAAAGTGGTTAATAGTATGTAGTTTCTCAAAGAACTGGACATTCCTGAAGAAATACTTTTTTTTTTTTTTTCTTCATATTGATGATGACTGAGATCACTAGCTTGAATAAGACAATTTTGGAAACCTTTCCCATTTTCTCCCATGACATTTTGCAACAGAAAATGAATTTTTATTAAAACAAAAACAAAAAAAACCTGCTTCACCTGCAGGTCTTAGTCTAAAAAGCAATCCGCTGTTCCAGACTAGAACCTTTAGCCAACTGCTTCTGTTTGCTTTGATATTTATGTGAAGGTTCAACATAACACAGATACAGAATGGAAGCATAGCCTCAGATAGAACAATGTCCATCACCTCATTGGACACCAGCTGGGGGAATCTGCCCTGAGCCAGCTCTTATCATTCAGCACCAGTAAGAAGAGAGTCTGCCCTCTGTGAAATCAAACTCTGAGCTCTCCCACAGTGGCAGAGCTTCAGTGTCTTGCTCAGTGGAAACCAGATGTAATAAGCAGAGTTTAGATGGTTATCTGTAAATGAAACACAGCATCAGCTCAGTACTGACAGCATGATAAGTTTACAATTTCTCAACCCTACTTTCTGCAGAGCATCTTTGTCTTTCTAACCAGAATCGAGAATTTTATAACTCTTGCTTTATCATAAACATGTAGTCTTCAAGCCTAGTCTGAATTTACTTTTGTAGTAGAATTGAAATCAAGTTGTTTTTAAATAAGCTGCCAAAATAAGCTCCTGTGTTTAAAATGACTCGTTTTTTTGGAATAGAGAAGAAAGCAAATTGTTGTTTTGTTTCTTTTCTCTGCAGGGAAATGCCATTAAGACGTACAAGTACAATTTCTTGACCTTTCTGCCCCTGAATCTGTATGAGCAGTTTAGGAGAGTAGCCAATGTCTACTTCCTGGCTCTGCTCATCCTACAGGTATAAATATTACTTCTATGCATTATCTGTTCTATGACTGGCAGTTTTGCAAAGAATGGGGATCAGTGAGTGCCACCAAATGTCTTGTTTGTTCAGATTATTCCAGAGATTTCTACTCTGCCCTGGTATACTACTCTGATTCCCCTGGTCATCGTGCTTGGAATCACCGCTATCAAAGATCTGGTGGACGATCTGGTAAGATTTGGTCTTTGGAAGACATGCGAGGTTAATTCTTCTGTCATTGTCTTCTCGACTTGGCCCTCAGGTGCAAACTTGCTTACTCTCATTGTTCATCTTGGCAAAACAACATGCAGCATTGTTTTAATCAGTTCAAAAAAAAAACTAGCGATATATTTTCAGTTTCCTTTGTAGAAGAACGAGGAAACTGTTCAAGTTGACTGGATGCTCCTACAGCTACTCTGCATAGTTTTTGATTGTTTTATTCTTCATGTTCTTATGTCTTTTTCCTTCAGGCACGCCACAGGATGGACAACGAGATCAACAACAGGAAGTCTGAGGTTCTACTAAATGGCAGGTTGGAAGAAAGCTGCTTATTAAAAAAGTATTTTTTAATCAATTTAAAAAAACAAAACAAAACCCATTTCCCTTTTTTTTTGCTTTTCTCTTTGCTTCAGGTTTCAAGAGGCCAAGTGGAGGGAAATCCAGGTTGGAGATGTGGTTCGTCTCAAGAAAAATGACTTTATTCCGGTATGATAATTCACCCAAAGTGGAGGTTTTTCCTACAAGGTTGCATTAGTTTTAATTTAAATCAGCCATAACAAGCTCACATAATGAGCACACACTTAATTTATTTCCTTCAAAAATCCCTATTACGATGTGAACTGAATTTCAACTTTTTTAGCGCTATGGGACTTTAAGATGAAATATTATTACGTGAAGACCAATAACCTCACTAAATTGATGTAATCTTTAAAATAATAGTCTTCGTTAGAATCAGAAAGCATTATCCAGGATATGTGTGTGGTTTCAGTCACTTTCATGATGTAGTAAATTCAGTGCTCAGTTTTAACTAGAGATTTCACAAACTAATGGGTAACATCAAACAGCTGCATCCATTTTTATATATATTTAACAGGAGAGAAAAGGTACAGAAGAAAACTCAAAGATGGCAAATGGACTTTAGAGGGACATGCTGAGGCCATTATGAGGTTCACTGTTACATAAACTAATGTGTCATCTACATAAAAGTTTACAAAAATATAATCTTCAGTGTATAGTCATTTTCTTTATACTTTACTTAAAAGGGACTGCTGATCGATCCTGGAGGCACTCCACTCATCAAATGTATTTGGATTAAAATGTATCCACATCTGCTAGGTATAAAGAAATGAGCTGAATAAAATGATACAGCATTGCATAATCCAGAACTTAAAATATTAGCTGATTGATCATTTAGTTTTGAGCAAAAGCGAAAGTCTTAAGAAATCGCAGATGTGTGCCTTGAATCCTCTGAGTGCTTTATCAATTTGAAAACTCAAATGTTTATATTTTCAGATATTTTATATATATATTTTTCACTCTGTAGGCTGACCTCCTGCTGTTGTCCAGCTCCAACCCAAACAGCCTGTGTTATGTTGAAACAGCTGAACTCGACGGGTAAGAAAGAGGGGGAAAACGCCATGTACTGTGCTATCACCATATATTAGGTTAAACTGTACAAACGATGCAATGGACTGTTGGAGTAGAGTACTGTGTTTGAGGAATTTCTATTTAATCAGTCTTTTTCCCAAGTGTTCAGTCAACAAATTACTAACTGAGAAGAGAAGAGCAAATTTGAAAAGCCTTTTCTAAGAACCAAACAGTCTTTGCTCTGGTGTGTGAACGCGTTCTGCTTTTAAGAGGGAACACCTTTAAATCAAACAGATACTTGTATATGTGGTGCAGTTAGATCCTCCAATAGAACGTGTTTACAGTGAATGGGAATAGAAATGAAATGAAATAGAAAGTGATACAAACAAGATCATAATCATTTATTTATTTATTTATTTATTTATTGCAAAAACAAAGAAATGATCTGGGGATTTTTCTTTGTTTTTAATCATTCTCCCAGACGGGGTTGGAATCAGTTCTCAGGTCTTTGTGTATATATTGTTTTCCCGTTGCAGCGAAACCAACCTCAAGTTTAGGATGGGACTTCGAGTGACTGATGAAAGACTTCAGGAGGATCATCAGCTCGCTGACTTCAATGGTAAGAACTGGATCACCACAACACACTCATTCAGTTTGAATCATGCTTACAGAAACAAGCTATTTCTTATTTTATTTCTCTGAACCAACGCCTTTTTTTCTGTCCCGTAGCCCTGATCGAGTGCGAGGAGCCAAACAACCGTCTTGACAAGTTTACGGGGATGATGCTGTGGGACAGGGAGCGCTACCCTTTGGAACTGGACAACATGCTGCTCCGAGGTTGCAAGATAAGAAACACTGACTGGTGTCATGGGCTGGTCATCTTTGCAGGTGTGTGTTTGTTGTTGTTGTTGTTTGTTTAAAAAGTATATAAATAATTAAATACAAATGTAAAATATAAATGTGTGTTATTGGTTTTTGTTTCTAACTCAATACCAGATTGTACTTTCTTGTGTTGTAGTTTGGCAGTTCCTCTTCTTAAAACATTGGTATTTCAAAAGTTTGGTTAATTTGATTGTAAAGGTTAAAATAATGAACGTATTTTACTGACTTGTTGTTGTAGGAGGTGATACCAAAATCATGAAAAATGGTGGCAAGACGAGGTTCAAGAGGACCAAAATTGATGAACTGATGAACTACATGGTTTACACAGTAAGCTTTAATCACCATTTTAACACACAGTGTATATTTTCATATCTATTATCTGATGCACCTCCTCGCCACAGACTGAGGTAAATGTTGGCCTGTATGACTGAATGTGTAGGCCCAATCTTCCTGAAGGTTTCTGTTTAAGTGATGCAAATATGCTATTGATGATGTTTGCTTTTTCTGAATATGTTTTGAGGTCTCCCCCCCCCCGATTTCTTGCACTGACACTTAAACAATACATTTGCAATAAGTAAGTCAAGCCATACAAGTAGTATATGAAGTCTTCTCAACAGCTATTTGGTGTCTCTCTGTTACTCCTCACCATAGATCTTTGCACTGCTCATCCTGGTGTCCGCGGGTTTGGCTATTGGTCACACATACTGGTATGAGGCTATCGGCACCAAGGCCTGGTATCTGTTCGATGGCAAAGATCAGACCCCCGGCTACAGAGGCTTCCTTAGCTTCTGGGGATACATCATCGTTCTCAACACCATGGTGCCCATTTCGCTCTATGTCAGGTACATAAAGCCAGACAAAATTAAGTGAAAACAATTATATTAATGCGTTTTGTGCTCACTTTCAGATTTGTGTGTGTTCAACAGTACACCAAATAAAAGTTTTTGTGCTTTGTCTACAGCGTGGAGGTGATTCGTTTGGGCCAGAGTAAGTTCATCAACTGGGACCTGCAGATGTATTTTGCAGAAAAAGACACCCCAGCTAAGGTACATTAACACTTGCATGTTTGTTTTTCAATTATCTTTTTTAACTGATTTTTTTCACCGCACTTTTATGCTGTATGTTGTTGAAGGCCTGTGAGTGTTGCCCCTCAATTAAATGGCCATTTCCGGTATTCAAGAATATAATGACATTTAAAGAGGCGAAGAGTATTTGTGGGAGTGTTTTGTTTTTTTTGTCCATCCATCCATCCATCCATCCATCCATCCATCTTCATCCGCTTTGTCCGGGGCCGGGTCGCGGGGGCAGCAGCCTAAGCAAAGAGGCCCAGACCTCCCTCTCCCCAGCCACCTCCTCCAGCTTATCCGGGGGAA